TGGAGGGGGCCGTGCTGGGGAACGGCAAGCCAGGGAAGCCACAGTACGGCCGAGGAGAGCTCTCCGCCCGGATCGCGCCAGCCTTCACCGCCATCCTCACCTCCCCCTTCCCGGCGTCGGGCATGCCGGTCAAGTTTGACCGGACTTTGTATAATGGGCACAACGGCTACAACCCGGTCACCGGGATATTCACCTGCCCCGTATCTGGCATCTACTACTTTGCCTACCACGTGCATGTCAAAGGGACTAACGTTTGGGTGGCGCTTTACAAGAACAACGTGCCCGCCACCTACACCTACGACGAGTACAAAAAGGGCTACCTGGACCAGGCCTCCGGCAGTGCCGTGCTCGAACTTAAGGAGAACGACCAAGTCTGGGTACAAATGCCCTCGGACCAGGCCAACGGGTTGTACTCCACGGAATACATCCACTCCTCCTTCTCCGGGTTCCTGCTTTGCCCCACATAACGGCTGTTGGGCATGTTTCCTTTTCACCCACTTCAGCCATAAACTGTCTTTTTTTTTTTTTTTTTTTGATAAAAGTTTTTTAAAGTTAATACAAAAAAGAAAAATCACTGGGAAGAACGCGCAAGCTGTTGTCGCGGGACCTTGCTTCACGCTGTTTGATCCCTGAGTCAAGAGGGTAATCGGAAAGGAGACATCTATCTTTCTTTCTTTCTTTTTTGGGGGAGGGAGGGGAGTGACTTCCTCAGCAAAGCATATTTGGAATAAATTTTACCCTAGCGACTGTACATCAAACACAGGAACGCACTTGGGATGGCAAGGGTCTGGCTCTGCAATAAACTGCTCTGTGATCCAGAGAGGGTTGGCTGGAAGACCAGACCCTTCTGATCTATAATCAAGTGCCCTTGCTTCCCATTTTGAGTCCTAGTTAAATAAATCCAGCTGTTGTAACGGATGGTATATTTGCTAACCAGCACAGGGGTCCTAGGCACTTAACACAAACCTGTAGAGCAGCAGAGATCCGTGATGGATTGAGAAATTTCCTTCCCAAACCATCAGACGCCCAAATTTCAGTCTCACTGATGCCTTTTTTTTCAGACTGCGCTTTGAGGCAGTTTCTCCGATCCACTCCGGATTCAGTGTGCTTGGATTTATAATCAGAAAAAGTGAAACACTTTGCATAAGCACCTTCTTATAAGTAGTAAATATTATGTTTAACCCTCCCCCCCCAGAACCTTTAGGAATAAAAACATCCAGGCATTGGTATCTGGGAAGATGACAGACGACCTATTCCAAAGCCGTTGAGGGAAGCTGGGACCCCTGATGAACAGCGATCCTCTCTCTCGGGCCAATTCACCTACTGGCAAGTCCAAGGGCTAGTTCTGTCCTGTCTCTTTGCAGCCCAAAGACTCGCTTGGCCTTGTGAGCATCTTATTCCATGACACCACAAGGATGGCACTGCAAGCCCGGCTCTCGGTGCTTCTCGCCTGGTTTGATAGAAGGTTTAGTTACACTTTCTTGAAAGTGCCACTTATGGACAACTTGCTTTTACTGTCTCACTATTTCGGGATGTGTAAACTTTTGCATTGGTGTCCCCCCCCGCTTTCTCCGGGGACCTTTTAATTAAGAAAAAATAGTGTTCGTTCTAACTTTCCATTCAGTCATTTTACAACGGTGCTATTACCTACTTAACAATGTTACTGACGAGTCTAGTGCAATATGTACCTGTAAAAGTGCGCCATTCCAGGTGCCAATCTGTGACTTAGGTTAGGGGGAAGAAAAAAAAAAAAGAAAAAAAAAAAAAAAAATCACATTTGTCTGTTGTGACCACTTTGCCTCACTAATGCTTGAAACGTTACCGACCTGAGTATGAGCTACAAGGTTCTGGGCAAGGTATGCACGGATCCTGACCGCTTGGCTGCTCTGTCCTGTGCCAGGGGGGGCGGCTGGACCCTGTTGCTTTGCGGGTTTCTCACGGTAGAACAGTCGTTGCCACTTGCACTTCCAGTAAAGCAATTCTTCTCATCCCAGGCAAGTAGCGCGCTGCTGAAGCTAATCCACATGCATTACACTGCACGTCCCTCTGCAAAGGCACATCCCTGAGAAAACAACAACAATTTGGTCACCAGCTGAGCAACTATTACCCTTAAAATGTTCCTAAAGCCTGTTCTATGGCCAAAGAAAAGAAATGTAGCAAGAACGGGACTTGGGATTGTTCTCCAGACGGACTGTACAAGATATTTAAACAACTTTTCTTTTTCTATTTCTGTTTTGTTCGTTTGTTTGTTTTTCAACTTCAGCCTGTCCTTTGTTTCTGCCTCTCGCCATCCAGGGCTTCCTTTCAAAAACACACCTATCCCTGAAATGAAGGAACACAAAAAGGAAATTTGCAGTGGGAAGGCCAGCGCTTCAGCTACTGCCCGGCTGGGGCTGGCTCTGGCCTGTCTCCCTCCCAGGGGCTTTTTCCACTTCATGTAAAGATGAAACCTTCCCAAGCTGAAAGGCTGCCGCGGTGTTTGATCCCACTGGACGTTTTTAACTCCTGAAGGCAGGGGAGCGTCAGGGCCATTCGGGTTATTTCCCAGCAGGAACAGGAGCCATACAAAAAGGGTCCCTAGAATTAACAGTGGAAGCTCAGATGTTTTCTTCAAGCCCAGGCTTGGGAGGAGGGTGCTAGGATGGAGCCTGTGTCTCCTGTATTGAAGCATCTTTCCCGTGGAGAACAGCGATGAACTGGCGCTGGTGCCACGCAAGGCCCCAGCCAGCAGCGGGGCCCAGCCCCTTCCACCGCGCGGCACCGCCAGCGACGCGTGCACACTACCTGCAGCAGGGCCAGGAGCTTCTCGCGCCCCGGCCGCGCGCCGGGCCGGAAGCTTCATCCTGTTACTCAGCAAAGCGACTTATTTATACTGTGTTCTAACCTGCATTCCATCTCTTCTTGTTCTGTTTTGTTTTGTTGGAAACTTCTTGTTCTAGCTGGCAAAACGCGATGACAAAAATACTCACTATAACCGCGCCGAGACATTAACTCGTTCAGTGCTGTAGATACTGTTTTGCAATTTCACTTTCCCTTCATGTGCAGAGCATAAACCATAATCAACCTTCCGCAGCTATATAACCTGTTACATTTACACAGCGATTGAAAGGCAAAAGATATTACACGCACATAGAGTTAGGCTAGAAAAAACGATGCACAGGATGAGGGAGGCTGTTCACTAAACCGGACACTGTCAGGAAGAAGTTTTTTTCTGGAGTACTGAGTACGTGATATTCGCCAGCAGAAAGGATTATTTTCTGTCGTGTGTGTGAGCGCGTGGGATTTTGGTTTCAATCACAATAGTAAAAAAGGTTGGGTTGGATGAAGTATGTCTATTTTTAATTATGAAAACTGCATTACAATGTGCATTTTTATATACAAATTCTTACTATTTTTTTTAAATTTGCCTCTAGTATCTTCATTTCTAACCTAGTATATAGAGGTTTCTAGTTTTGTAAATACTTATTACATGCACTGTCATAGTAAAAGTTGGTTTAAAATGCACTCTTTTTGTGATCAGAAACTGGCCTTCTCTTCGGAACTAAAACTACACTACTTGATTGTATTGACAAAACATCAATAAAACTTATTGTATAAAAGGTGGGCTCAGCCGTGCCTTTGTCCTGTCATTAACGGGCTTGCTCAGCCTTGCTACTAAGACCACTCCCGCAGACCCCTTGCACCGTATTTCCTCCCCAGATCCAGCCCACTTGGTCCCAGCAGTCCAGCAGATTTGCTTGCTAATACATACTCTTTATGTAAGAAGGTATTCCATGCTTCTTGTGATTTAAGGGAAAGATTCCTGTCTCCAGAAGTTCATTTTAAACAAATGATGAAATCCAGACCCTTCCAGGCTGGCAATTATTAATGTGAGGAATTTAAGTCAAAGTGTTTGGGATTCCCTTTCCCTTCCGTGTTTTTTTCATTACGTTTTTATTTTGCTGCATTACACAACCTTCTCCACAGCCAACCTCTGCGTCCCGAGCAGCAAAAGCAGAAGAAATGGTGAATCACCTGCAAGCAAATCACTTTCAGAGGCTGAAAGTACAAAGGATAAAGAGAAGAAAACGTGTTTCCCACCTATCTCTTACCTGGAAGAGGAGACGTTACTCGTTACAGGTGAAACACTTCCAGAAAAGCCTGATTGCCACGCGGGCAGACTCCTTCAAAAGCTGACTACGAAGAACAAGCGATCCTCCTGCTGCAAGTCACGGGGCACCCAGCACACTCCTGCGTGATCATCGCACGCTGGACTCCAGCAGCCTTCCTCGCGCTGCTCCTCGCTGCAAAGAGCCTACAAGCCACAGCCAGCAAAGGGAAAGGGCCTCTCCAGCAAACCTCCCTGCAACGCACGCCATCGATGCTTCCGACTCGCCCTGCTGTTACCCACAACCACCACTCCTCGGCTTTTACAAACTTCAGCTGCCCCATACTGCTCCCAGGCAAGAGCAGCCACCTGAAAGTAGTTTTTACAGCGGATTTCCAGTGCTAAAACTCACCCCAGATGAAGCACGAGCCTTGGCTATGTGCAAGATGTCTTAGAGACCAGCACTGAAAAACTCCCATTCTGCTTTCTACAGAAAGACTTCAAGAAGCCGTAACAAAGTAGTTTCAGGTTGAGCCTTAAAGTGAAGCACGGGGCAGGGAGAAAAAGCCCAGAGGTTGTCATGCAACTCCTTGCCATTTAGTATGGAAGCACAACTTCATACCTTGATTGACAAGACAGGAGCAGTGGCTAATTAACAAAGATAATGATGTGATTTTATTTCTTTCCAAGGAAGTCAGAGCTAAATGGTTTAGTACACATTTAAATTCTGGCCTAAAATGAGCTATATTTTTTAAAGAGGAGCAGGAACTCCAAACATTTAAAATTATAACTGCTTTAAAAGGAAAATACCTCCTTTTAAATAATTCCGTGAATATGTTCACACCTCTGGGAGAGTAACGTGAAAAACCTGACATTTTACATCTCAGATCTGCAGCACAATACATAAATATACAATAGACCGAAACTCCACATGTTCTCAGGACAAGAATGCATTTATACGAGGAAAACCCATTAAAGCATCACGCAGGAGACTGGCACCTGAAGGAAGGAGTACAGGGAAAACTGGGCCGACCCCTCGCAGCCCGATTTTCCACGCGTGCATGCAGCCTGACACACAACCACCATGTGCTGATACCAACAGGGAGCGAGCTCTGAGCAGGACGGACACTTCCCGGTGTCACAAGAAATACTAGAGGATCACATTGGCATATTCAAATTTATGAACATTTCCATATGATGACTGCTTGCCTCTTTCTTTCTTCTTGTTTTCAATTATTAGAAAGCCTTTAACCCTTTTTAGACATGCCAAACCCAAACTGTTACTCCCTTTTTGACCAGCTCCACTGGGCAAAGGGTTTAAATGTGACACTCTGGAACAACACAGCTTTGCTAGAATATTCTTGGCCACCGGTACCAGCTTCAAATGCACACATTCTTTTAAACTCTGATAAATTCTCCCCCGATTAACTACCATTCCCTTTATTTTCAGATGTTTCTTACCAAGTACAGAGTTTTAAAACTGAGAAGTAACTCCTGCTTCCAGCTGAGGTCGTTTTTGTCACTGACTGCAGCAGAAGCAGGAGTTCAATCCTTGTCTAACACTAGGTTTCACAGCTCCCTCCACTCGCAGATTTAAACAGCAACCTCACTTGGTGCCCTGGACATAACGCAGGACAGGATTAAAAACGCAGGATGCAAGGCCTAGGAGCAAAGGAAACAGCTGGAGTAGCTGCAGCAATGCGAAAGCCAGGTACAACAGGGAACACCAAATGCAACAGATCGGGACGGTGCCAGGTGGATCGCAGAGCACAGGACACCAAAGGAGCGGGAATTAATTACACCCTCTTCCAGCAGTAACACCGAGCCAACTGGGGTTCTGTCTGCAGGCACCAAAGGCATTTCTCACACCACCACTAGCAATGCAAAGCAATCCCCTCTCCAACCTCTGGCACTTTTCCTTCTGCCCTTAAGGAAGTGAACCCCCCCCTGGGAGGGCTACCCTCCCGCACCCTCGCTCCCCAGCACGGGTAACCCGTGCCCCCACGCAGGACACCCTCCAGCTCCCCGGGGACGTGTCTCCCTGGCGAATCCCACCTACATCCGTTAGCTGGTCAGCACCGGTGTTTTGAGAGGGGTGTGGAGCCTATCAAAGCCACTGCAGGACAGGTCACGAACAACTGCAACAAAGGCCACGGCACACAGGAGTAGAGGAAAACAGCGAGAAAGTCAGCAGATTCAGACACCCGCCTAGTAACTGTAATGACAAAATGCCATAGTAAGGGTGGGACAAAGCAAGAAGCAGAAACCTTATGAAAAACTAGACACTCCTGTACACTTCAGAGGAGAGGCACCCACTGTCCCAGGCACCACATGCAGCCACTTCCCAGCTGAACCGTAACCGAAGGGTACATCCCCTCTCTTCCAAACCAGCTCATGCCTCCAGCTCCCAACTCCCAGCGGCAGGCGTCTTTCTCAGGTGGAGGCTCACTGGCGTCTGCAGATGGCATGGATCCACCACCAGGCTTCTGACCAGAAAAGCAGAGGTGACCACCCACTTTGCCTTCAGAAAACAGGCTCCCCTTGGAGCTCAGAGCCGCTGGCAGTAGAGTTCATACAAGCTATTTGCCAGCTTCTGTGTCTCTTGAAAAGCCTCGCAGCTCTGCTCCCAACTTGGGGGTATCTGTTCCTCCCCGTAATAAGCCCCTGCGATGGCTCCTGCCATGGTAGCAATGGTGTCTGTGTCTCCACCCAGAGAGATACAGTAGATGATGGTCCTCTGCAGGTTGCTGTAGTGATCAGGAATATCTGGGTCAGCTTCCATACAGCGCAAGAAGGAGTAAATTGCAGTAGGGACAGACCGCAAAGCGGCAATGCCGTTGCCTGTTAATAAAACCAATCATCTTCAGTGCTGCAGAACACTTGTTTCTTGCTTCCCGCAGAAGCGCCTTTTCCTTTCTAACTGCAACTCCCCATTGCCAGTCACTTTCACTACCGGCATTGCCAATTTTATTGTGACAAGGTGCAAAAGTTTGCCCCTTGGAAGAGAAACCTCCCCATAGTTCCCCGGTACTACTCACATCCTGGAGACCAACTCCCAGCTACACCAGTACAGTCTGGCAGTACACACCTACCCATTCCCAGCCAACATGAAGAAGTGGTAGCCATTAAGACAAGAAATCTTAAGAGTATTAAGAAATGTTATTCATGGTAAGTTTTTCTTAGCAAGACTTTTTTTCTCCACCAATACAGAGAGGGAGTCACTGGGTTGAGGGTCAGAGAATTACTGACGGGTGAGGACCGGCAGCCTTTCCAGAACGTTCTGTGCCTGACAGGCAGCAGAGGCCGCAGCAGCAATCTGGGGGAGGGGACAGGAACTAGGCTTGCTGAGTGAGTCCTGCTTCCAGCTCTTTCCTAATACTTGTAGCAAGGAAGGTACTTACCTAATTCAAATAATACATCTGCTTTGGGAACGCTGCTGAGCTCCAAAAATTCCTTTATTTTCTTTAGACGCCTTGAAAATGGTAAATCCTCAAACCCCAACCTGGGGGTTAAAAAAAAAAAAAAGTACAACAAAGAAGAGAGAATGCAAAGAGCCAGAATAAACTGTACAGAGCAGAGTTAGTGCTCCCCACAGCTACTTACGCTCGGGCGTCAGTAAGAGACTTATCGTCTGCCTCTACATCTTCCATGTGGCTAATGAGCTGCTCCAGGAAGGTCTCCTTGCTGAGTCCTCCCTGCAGGGCGAGATGCACGGCCAGGGCCTGCAGGATGGCCCCGTTGTAGCCCAGGGAGTTGGCATGGGTTAACTCAGCACTCAGCTTCGCAAACTGCAAATGAAAACACATCATTAGCAAACCTACGCAAGGGATCACGGTGAGACTTGCCCGCTGGCAGGGGCTCCCAGAGCTGTGGTGCCCAGAAGAGCCAAGAACAGTACCTTCTTCACATCCTGGATGTCAGAATACACGAGGGAGATGCCTGCCACCCTCATGGCACCGCCATTGCCATAGGAGCCTTTCCCATTAAACTGGGCTCTTGCTGGTTCAAACACATCGTTGCACTTGGGGCTCAGGAGCTTCTTGAAGACGTTGACAACAGCCATCCCATAGCCCCTGTTGGGTTCCTTCTTGTACTCCTCAGCAAACCTGGTGTGGGCAAGAGAGCAGCAGTGACGCAGGTGAGAAACAAATATACGGGATGTTTGGTTGGTTACTGGAGTTTGCAAAGAGACCGCATAAAGCCGCTCGATAAAGTGAGTAACACACAGGTTAATTCAGTGACAGTCAGGGTTCAAGCGATTCAGTTAGAACCTGATTCCCAAAAACCGGTGTGAAAGGAGGAGAGGGTGTGTAAACATCACCTTTCACAGCCCCCTCGTTTCCCTCTCAACTTTGCCTTGAAATAGAAACAAACTGCAAACATTTCCGTGGGTCACAACTGCAAAGAAAGTCTTTTATTCAAGTTCAATGGAAGAGTTTTCTAAACAAATAAACGTTCTCCCTTAAGTGGAACCAAATGCTACCAGGGCTGTGGATTCAAAAGGGAAATGGATCATCAACAAACTGAAGCTGACCTCACTAATATTCACTAACTAAATTAAGGGAAGTACAAACGTAAATAGCAACAAATAGACATGGAAGGTAACGCTTCTGAAATTTCTAAGCATTACCTTCTGCAAAGGTGAGTATACAGACGCGGCTGCAACACAGCATGTCCCATCCTACTTCATTCTAAAGCAGACTCCGAACCCACACTAAAGCTAACGCTGCTGCCTGTTCCAGGACAGTGCAAAGCACACGATAAATCACAAGATTAGTCATTGCTTTTCTAATTATTTTTCCTCCATGAATTAACAATGACCTTGCCTTCGCCCCTGTCCCTTTTCACAGAAAATTACAGCGACTGCTGAATCTTAAGTTAGTTTTGCCTTCACTAGCAAATGCCAACAGCCTGGCCCCCAAAGCTGGCTGCAGTCCTTACCTCTTGGCCATATCAACTTCATCAAACTCTCGCTTGGCTAGCAGGGACTGCACCACCGACCTGCTCATGGCCGTGTCGTCCGTGTACGAAAGCGTTTCTAAAACAGAAGGTCAAAACACAACGTGACCATCCAGGGACAGACTCTCCTCCTGTCCTTCTCCACTGTCAACACTTCCCTACTCTCCAAGGCCTAATTATATCTATAGCTGGAGTTAAAACATTGCCAGAAGTTCTCCAGCACTTTGAGCTCATCGCTAGCCATGGTCATCAGAGTAAAAAGGCACAAAGAGAGATGCATCAGCAGCAAAAGTGAGACACAAAGCATTTCAAGATTAATGGGAGCCAAGCGAAAACGTCCGATATCCAGAGGCGCACGTGGACAAGCGTAAGACACGCCTCTTTCTCGAGGAGTTTACAGCGTACGCTGACAAGCAGAGACGAGGAAGCACAGTTGCATTTCTGGACAAGACCGCAACGAAATCAAGTGCCTTTAAGATCCTGCTGGATGGGTTTCCAGGGCTTGCCGCACCGCTCAGAACCCCTAAGCGAATCCATCATCGCTTGCTAAGAGTTAAATAACCATTCCTGCGCTTCTCTTGCTCTACTCCTTACCTATTTTTGGCATATCTGTTCCTTGCTGACACCCCCGCACTGCAATACCCCACTTCCCAGCACGCTACGCGCCCCAGCTCTGCTCTGGTGTGGGCAGCACAGGCTGAGCGCAGCAAACCACACATCCCTCCACATTGGCCGTGGGCTTCAGGAACCAGGAACTGCCCGGGGTGGGGGGTGGGGAGGAGGGGGCGCAGAAGTGGGCAGTGAGGTCATCCTCGCCCTGGGGTGTGGAGGGGGCCCCCCCCAACCCCACAGTGCAGTGGGCACACACCAAAGCAGGGCTAGGGACAGCCAGGGGTGTCCCAGGGGAGGTGCCCTCCACGCTGAATCATAGAATCATAAAATCAAAGAACGGTTTGGGTTGGAAGGGACCCCTCGAGGTCATCTAGTCCAACCCCCCTGCAGGGAGCAGGGACACCTTGAACCAGATCAGGTTGCTCAGAGCCCCGTCCAACCTGGCCTGGAATGTTCCCAGGGATGGGGCCTCCACCCCCTCTCTGAGCAACCTGTTCCAGTGTTTCACCACCCTCATTGTAAAGAATTTCTTCCTTATATCTAGTCTAAACCTACCCTGGTTTAGTTTAAAACCA